ACAGAATCCCAGGGGGCAGTGCAGGGACAGAATCCCAGGGGGCTGTGCTGAGACCCATGTTTGGTTGAGCATTGCTTCTTCCCAGGTACCCTGTGGTGAAATGGGTAAAGGGCTAATACTACCATGCCTTAATCCCATCCCCCTGGAGCTGAAGGGGGAAGATCTTTGTTATGTAAATAGGCTGCCTTTGTTAATGACCCATTGACAAAGGTGGGGGCTATTAAAAGTGAGTCTGCTTCCTGCCTAAAACATGTTTCTCCATTTCTTATCCAGGGGAATACAATATTCTGCCTTTTCAATATTTCCCAGGATATTTCATTTTTCTAGGAGAGGGGTGGGTTTTAACTTCCTATAATGGAAGGGTAGATTGGGAGATCCAGAAAACATCAGCTTCCATGATGTTGCAAAGAAAATTGCACAGATGCGTCACCAGCAGCCAAGGCCTATTTGAGGGCTTGTTCACTTAAAACACATGCTAACATTTGATCTTTTGGGTCTCTTTGCTGCTAACTAGTGGGCATCCTGACATTTGCAGTCTGAATATGATAACTCTATATAGTACACAAATGAGAGCTGGAATCTCTACAATGTACTCTAATGATAGAAACCTGCAGTGGCTAGTAGCAAAGGAAAATTGGTTTGTGTATGGTCATAGACTTTTTGTTCTACCCTTCCTTGTTGACAAATGCCAGAAGATTAAAGACACTTCCGTCCTTGCTTTCAAAGCCAAATCTATCCTAGAAGTGTTAATCATATACCCTTTTTTAAAAAACCTCTGTTGCAATGATGCCTGTCACAAAGAAATTTGAGCGTGGGCAAGACCCATCTGCTTCCTCTACTTTGGGTAGATTCCAGCAACTGTTGCTCCAAGCAGCAGATATTGTTTCATTACACAATCTGGAGGGGTGTCCCTTCAGACAGACAATGGTTTCCTTCCAAGCGCTGAATTGAGATGCCTACAACTGATGATTCATTTTGTAAATTGTGTAGGACTTCCTTTGTCTAAATAGAGGGGCTTAGTCATAGTGAGAACAAATGAGGATCAAATCACAAAATAAAATATGCAAAGAGTGAATGGACCAAGAGAAACGGCAAACCGAAAAGAGGTACAGAGTTTAAAGAACCACAGGCAATGTATGAAGTGGTGTATGGATGAGGCAAATACAATTTGGAAGGCTAGAAAGATGTAGGAATGCATAGTGAATGATATTGACATAAACTAGTTTTAGTAAGACGCCCATGCTTGCAATTTGCTTGGTTTCCTACAGTATTTTTCTTTCTCCACACTACAACAATATATTACTTACCATAAATATGAATAAGCTGATGGCTATTAATGCATGCAAGCATATCAGTGAAAAACGTCCCTTAAAATTCCTGGCTTTTCGGTTTTAGTTATTAGTTATCCCTCTAATAAATGTCATACCCATGCAGCTTTTTCTTGTCACAAAGAAAAAAGGGGGAAAAACATCAGAGGAGCAAGGGACAGAGAGACATATACATATAATTCATATATTGCTCAATTTCATAACATGTATTTCAAGATAAATATACACCTAGAATCAGGGGTCCTTGTGCTCTCTGAGTATGGGTACTTTCTTGCAGATGTTTCATTACCTAAACTAGGTAATATCATCAGCACCAAGCTCAGAGAGCACTAAGGACCCCTCATTTCGACCCTGAGCTACAAATATTCTCTATTGGTACATACAGATCAGTTTGCACAAAATAAGCAAATTTGTATGCTACTGATTTTATTATTTTCAAAGTGGAATTTGAATGGTTGCAGCAAGGAATCTGGTAATGTTAAACAATATGAACACTATACTCTCTTAGATGGCATTCTGAGTATGTTAGTATCTGTGCCAGGGAGATAGAAATACAATATATGAAGTAGTTGTGCTGACATGAATTGGCTCTGCTTTTCAAATAAAACAACAGCTGCTGATTGTATCCAATCTGCTTTAAGGATTAAATCTAGAATAGCACATGGCATTTGTTCCCTTTGGAAAGAATGATAAAGTGAGAACTCTTTTGCCACCTAATGGCAACCTTTATTAGTAGGTTAGCTGTTTAACAGGTGAATTGAAGATACAAGAAATTCGCATTTTCTGTGCCAATAAGGTCAGATTTTGCTGCTGCAAATAATTTGCCCAATGCTGGACACTTGTCATATTCAATAACAGATGGCTGCATTGCTCCCTGAAGAGCAGTCAGACCAAATCTTTAGTAGAACAACAGTCAAAGTCGATGTTTTCTCAATCCTTAAAATTTAAGGATGTCTGGACTTCAATTCCCCAGCCAGCGTGCTTGAATTTGCTAACATTGAGAAATACTGGACTAAGAGTTACAGTGTAAAGCTAACATAGCAGAGATATACAGATGGAGATGCCAAGACATGAATGAATGAGGTTGAGATAATCAGTTTGGTACCATAAATACATTTACTGTATGAGTCCATCAATTCCAAAAAGGATAACACTACAAAATGAACATCCAAGTTTGTGGAAACTCCATGAATAGGATGGAGAAAAACAGCCTTCTTTCACTATCTTGCTTCCCTGTTTCACTGTGGTTGGGATTTGGATTGGAAAAAAAGGGAGGGGGTTGACTAGAGCAGCCACTTTGCATCCCTATAGGTTGAACAGCCATTTATATTCACATAGCATATGGATATTATCTTAGCATATTCACATAGCATGTTAAACCAAGGTTTAACAATGGATTATTGAATGAAGTACAGTTGGCTATTACACAAACAAACTACATTAGAATACGGCTTAACGCAACGCATGAAGCGAGGCAATGAACTGAGACAATATTATGTAGATGCTGGAAAAGAGAAAGAGGGGAAACCACTGTTTCATACCCATTTTGTTTGTGAACTTCTGGCTGATCCTGTGAGAAGAGAAAAGATGGACCTGGCAGAGTTTTAATTTGATCTAACATTCATATATCTTTTTATAGAAATAAGTTCCATTGAATTAAATGGGCCTTATTATCAGACTTCAACGGATACCGTAGTTAGATCTGCAGAAAAAACAATTGCTACCACCTGCCTTCCATTGAGGACCTGTATACTGCACGAGTCAAAAAGAGGGCCGTGAAAATATTTACAGACCCTTCACATCCTGGACA